GAAAAGATGAACCACAGAAAGAATTTTTTTTAATTCTCCATTAATTTTTCCCCCTCTTAAGTCTTTCTTTCACACCAAATGTTATTTGGAGCTGTTAAGAAGAACACTAACAGCATCACTTTTTATTTATTTAGTATTTTTCACCGAACCAGCTTTTTCAGTAAAATCCCATGTGAGAAATGGAAGTGAAGGCATAAGAAAGTTAATAGTGACAAGGGGCTCAAGTTTGTTTAAAAATAAGGAATTGGGCTTAGAAAGTCTAAGTGACTTAGATTGTTGAGAAAGCGACGAGGATATTCTCTTTCTAAGAGCTCAGTGTTTTAAGCTTGCCAGCTTCAGAACAAAAGGCATTTCAGCACATATGTGATCCAGAAGGTCAATCATATGAAATCCTATTTCCATTTTTTAAGCAATCCTTGGAAGTCTGCACATTTCTGAAATTGCAACTGGCATATTTCACAGAGAATTATCATCAATGCCTTTTCAAGGTCAAACATCCTTCCTCTTTAGAATTTTGGCATTTATAGCCTATATATTAAATCATAGTATTTATTTTAAAAGGCATTCAGGAGAGACATTAAATAAGTTTAATTAATTAGACTGTGTTCATTAATGCCATGTTGAATTTTCTTTACTTGACATAAACTGCATGGGAAAATATATGACAATATGTGTTAGATTTGGCTGAGAGTATTCTGCATCTGTTACCATTTCTGGAACCCCTGAACACCTATGTAAGGCTTTGGACTCTCTCAAAGAATTAAAAATACATTTCTTATTAGAAAAGTTAAGTCATCTGAAATGTATGTTAAGGGGACAAAAAAAAGATTATTATTACTTTCAAATTGTCAAAATCTCAGGACACTGGTTGCCTTGTGAATAAAATAAAACTGAATTTGTACATTACTATAAATGCTGAGACTGCACCACCTGATGAGATACCCTCTCCCTAGGCAGTGCCAGAGGTCTTTAAGCCCCGCTCCTCTTACCATCCAACCATAGCTTATCTGATTTCTTTCTCTTTTCTCTGGGTAGCTGTCTCCCCCAATGATATCCAGAGACATCTACGCCCTCATGCTGTGCATGATTTTGCTTTGGGGGTGGTGAGGCAGGGGAGGACAAAGGAAATCAGAAAAGCATCAACAATTTTGGAAAGGCTCTAATAGTATTCTGAGATATTTGTACTTTCAACAAAAATTTCAGAAAAGGATGTGGGGTAGGGCAAATGAGAGAGAGCAGAAAGAGTTGTAGAAAGCATCTACAACTGTACTGCATCTTTCCATTCCTGGCACATGTGACAATTACAAGGACACTAATGGACCGTCCTTTGGGCTACGACTGACCTCACTCAGGACTGTCTCCTGTATGTCTGCCTGTTATTTCTACCATTAACATCCAATCTTACCCTGTGATTGCCTTTGAGGTGAGGGGTGAGTGTGGGTAGTTCCCAGGAAGTGAGGCTCACTGCTGTGGGTAATCACCGTGGATTGCCTTATCCACCCGGGCACAAAACAGGCTTGCAACCTTGGGTTATCTTCCCAGCACACTATTTTCCAACCAGAGCTTGTCCTTAGCCTCAGGCTCCTACTTCTACTTTCATTCTGCAGCTTTAGCTGTACGAAGCTTTGGGAAGGCAGGAAAACAGCACTGTTCAGTAATTTGGCCCTTCTGCCTCTTTTTCCACTACTTATTCTCAGATGTCCTGGTTTTCCAACACATTTCTCTTCTAAAGTTTGGCTCCTGATTTAAGTTCGTGCTATGGCCTTAGAGGACCAGGTAGAGGCCTTTCTAGGGTTAGTTTTTAGCCTGTCATTCACTCGTCACTCATTCATTCATCCATAAGCTAGAACACCTTTTCTTTTACCACGGGGCGGTATGTGCTTCCCAACTACTCAAGGACATGCTCACAGTAAATCTTCTTCCCTAAGTCACCAATGTTTCCCTTTCCATGGTTTCATTTATACCAACATATAGTTTTCTTGCTTCCTACTGAAACAAAATTAAAACAAAACAAAACCATAAATCACACTGGCCACGCAACTACTATAATTGTTTTGCATTTTTTGACTTTGAAAGTCCTCAAAATAGTTCTCTATATTTTGCTTCAATTCTCTTCTTATTTTTCTTATGAACATAATTCCAGTGGGCTTTGTCCTCCCAAAACACTGTTCTTATTAACACCAAATTGGTAAAAGGCAACAGTGACTTTCCAGGCTTGCGTGTATTTGATCTATCTGCAAAATCCCTCTTCTCCAATCATTTTTTACTCCTCTTGGAGGTGTCTTTCCCTTTTGTGGTTCTTCTGCCCTCTCACTAATTGTAACTGCACTTACACTAGATACTTTTGCTGGTCCCATTAAATGAGCAATTAGATGCCCCAAGAATGAGTTCTGGGTTCTTTCATCACCTCTGTCTAAACGTAAGTGCTACTTCTCTCCTCCAGGCTCCTGGGTGCTAAACCTATAGAATCAGGCTGTCACATTTATACCTCTGGCTTTGATTTCTACCAAAACCCCCAGATTCTTTCTCCAACTGTCTGTTCAGACTCTCCACTTGGGTCCTTAAAAGGCTTCACACAATTGACCTTCACAAATATGTTCCAACAAGGTGAGCAGGAGCGCCCCAATAATTGACCCTAAACTTGCTCATCATTAAGTCTTTGCCATTTCATTAGGTGAAAACATTATTGTTCAGTCTAAGCAAAATCAAAATAAAATAGAAAACAAGAGAACGAATCTTTGCTTCCTCTACCAACTCCTACATTCATCAATCAAATAATTCAGATGTTGCTTGTGTTTTGATTATTTTATACCAACTCTAATGTTAGCATCCTAGTCCAAACCACCATAAGCTCTTACCAATTAGCATATAACATGAGGGATGATTTTCTTCCTATTTTTTTTTCTTTTTTCCCCCTCTATTCTCAAACTGAGAGTAGTTCAATCAGCTTCTGTTTAGGAGGTGGGGAAGTAAATGGGGAAGTAAATGTGCTCAGATCATTTGGCTGCTTTTCAATTCAATGTGTGTCCTGAGCTGTCTTTATTTTCATGCTTTCTATTATAATTCTGGAAAGTATTGCTTATTAATCCAGTAGAGACCAACTCAAAGTTCACATAATTCAGTTTTCCAGACCTCACCTATGTAGTGACAGGGTTTCACCATGTCTCCATTTATACAAATTCTTGCTTTGTGTGTCTTGGACTTTCAACTTCCTCTGCACTGTTGGTTATGTGCCTTAGAACACCTGACAGTAAGCCATCTAAAAATTAGCCATTTCTGTTATTAGTGTCTATAGATCTTTAGATAGAAATATGCTGAATATTATTAATGAAACAGGAGATGTTAGTATGGATAAATATAGTATTATGGAGCCCATGTATGCCCTGTAAATTCTAATAGAATGATTCAGCAAATAATTTCATTTATATATTTATAAAAAGAAGTAGTTGTTGAGTTTTAACACCAAAATTAGGAAACTCCAGATTGTAGAGCTGAAGTTACTTAGAAATCATGTTGGCCATTATTTCTGTTTAGAATTTTGAAAAACTCAAATTTGAAACCAAAGTAAAATGCTCACCTACAGGAGACCATCAGAAATAGTCTGAGTGGGGAGTGGATTCTTAAGGGCATTTAGGTGTGAGAAATGATAGAAATAAAAACCAACACAGTCCCCAACAACAAGTGAATTCATTTTAAAGATTAACATGTGCATTGTGAAAATGTTTATCAACTACATAATTGTGCAAATATTTTTAGACCTAGTAATAGAATACATTCCCATTTTAATAGTCCACAAGAATATACTCTTTCAAAATAGTCTTCCACAACACTTCTTTCTAGTGTTTTTTCTAAACTCTCTCTCATATAAAATTAATTTTCACAAAATATTGGAGTGACACAATCTTACTCTTAGCTTAGTTCCCTATAAGCATAAATAACTTATCTTAAAATAATATTTTATGTCATAATATTCACACAGACTATATAAAATATTAATACCAAATTAGAGGAAAAAAATCTAGCATGAAATACAAAAATAGCTTATTTTCAGTTACCCGGCTAACTGATGAAATTATTTCCTATGTTAGATTTTTACATTTAGCAAATAGATTCACTGAAGAAGCAGGACTCCATCAAACACAACAGGTGTGTACATGTACCAATATATGCTTAAAACACTAACATTCTCTTGAAAAACCAAAACTTATTCCTTCTTTTGGTGCCTGTGCCCCAGGACACTTAACCTCAATTTTGTTTGTTTGTTTGTTTGTTTCAAGGGATGAAACCCAGGGGCACTTAACCACTGAGTCACATCCCTAGCCCTTTTGTTTTTTTTATTTTGAGACAGGGCCTTTCTTAGTTGCTTGGGGCCTTGCTAAGATGCAGAGGTTGGCTTTGCCTCAGCCTCCCAAGCCTCTGGGATTTGAAAGGCTGCAATGCTAGGCTTATTATCTTGGAGCTGTTAGGTTTTGCACCATAAATATAATTCATTTGAACTAACCTAGGATAGTTGGTACCAAACAAGAGATGGAAGAGCCGTTAAATTCATCCGAGAGCACACACTGAGGATTCCGCCTCTTCCAGAGGCCATCAAAGGCTAATTATTGTTGATATTTGGTCATATTTTGGGGAGAAGATGATCCTTATATTAAGGTAAGTGCAATGAACAAAGGCCCTTAAGGTGGGGTTTTACATCAAACTTTAGCTATTAGAGGGGTTGTGTGTTCTCTTGTGCTCTTCCCCACAGGTTGTTGAGCACGATCCTTAATTTGGAGGAAGCTGAATTCTTTCCAAGCCTTTCTGAACCTCCACAAGCACCACACACATGCAAGTAACTTGTAGCTAAGGGAAGAACCCTGTCAGCAGGCTGGCCGGTGGAGCTGCCACTGTCACCTCCCCTCATCAAGTCCAGCCAACTCTGAGAGCCCTTTCTTGACCAGGTGGTAACGTCACAGCCGGACCCTGGTGTGCAAAGCCCAGATCATGCTTATTATATTTACCGCTTTATGGCTTCTTCCTGTCTGCGGCGTTTCTCATTCTTCTCCTTCAGGTAGGCCAGGTTTGTTTCATTTCTCAAGCGATCGTTCTCTCGGGCAATGTCAGAGGCATTCTGAATCACTAGGCCGTCATATGCCTTCATCCCCATATCCTCAATGTACTGCAGAAAGGTGTCCAGAGCGTCCTCCTCTGGGTGAGCGCTGGTCATCTTGGAGGGTATCATGCAGAGGGAAGGTTCCTGCAGAGTCAGAAGACATCACAAGTTCAGCACAGGTGAGGACAAAAGCAAGCTGCAGTGTCCCTGACCTGTGTCTGCCAAGTCCCCAATGATTCCAGCAGGTCCACTTGGAGAAAACATCTCCTTGGACATTACATTCCTCTAGAGTATTTGAAGAATTATTAAGTAAGTGTCACCTGGCTACCCAATACTCCCTCATTAACAGGACCAAGGTCAAAGCTACTAGACTAAGAGATGATATGAATGTGAGAATTTCTGTGTATGAAGATAGCCATTTGGTTTACATAATTAAAGTCATATTTCATTTTCAAAAATGTGGGGGAGTTTTGTTTGTTTGGGTACTGGGGATCAAATCCAGGGTCACTTTACCACTGAAGTACATCTCCAAACCTTTTTTATTTGTTGAGATAGAGTTTTGTTAAATTGCTGAGGCTAGCCTGAAACTTTTGATCCTCCTGCCTCAGCCTCCCCAATCACTGGGATTACAGGTGTTTGCCACCATGCTCAATTAAAAAAGGGTTCTTATACCAATAAGACATAGCAGATACAAGTTTCATTTAGTACTCACTGTTGTAAGTATTTTTCTGTGATATTTCATATAAAAATAAAGTTTTATTTGGGAAAAAAAACTTTTGTGTTATACTTGAAGTTTTAAAATAAAATTTATAAATCTGAATTATTCATACAAAATATAGCAATCAAAGACATTTCTAGTATAATTTCTATAGGACACAATCCATTTGTGGCCCCCTACTATTTTCCATAATGGTCCTCAATAACTGCTTCATATTATAACTTAGTTTAACTCAAATGCTGTACATCACCAGGATCTCACTAATCCTGGCCAGTTCAGTAACTCCAGCAGTGATAAATTGTTATATCATTGCTACCTGAGATTAAAGACTTGAGCCACAGAAATGAATTTTTTTTTTTTTTTTTGGAAACATGAATTGAACCTAGGGACACTTCACCACTGAGCTACATCCCCAGTCCTTTAATTTTTTTTTTTTTTTTAATTTTGAGACAGGGTCTTGCTAAGATGCTTAGGGCCTCACTAAATTGCTGAGGCTGGCTTCCAACTGTGATCCTCCTACCTCAGCCTCCTGAAGTGCTGGCATTACAGATTTCTGAGAGATCAAAATCATGTCAAATCAAAACAAAACAAAACAAAACAAATTTTAAAACCATTGAACTTTCAATCAGTCCATTCTACTCTCACCTATAAAATGATGGTAGTAATAACTCCTACCTCCTGCTGGTATGAAGGTTTAGAAGGTGAAGACTGAAGATTTTAGAATGGAATTCAACAACAGTGTGCAGGTCAAGTTAGATAATGCCATAATGAAGGTGTAGGGAGAAGAATGGCAGCAACAGTAATGTTAACTGGATGAGTGTGGATGTGTGAATGGAGGGAGGGGTGAAAGGAAGAAAGAAGGGAGGAAATGCAAGCAAGCTATGAAAGCAGCATGCCTTGATGAGGAGCTGTCCAAATCACTGAAGCCAGGGGTCAGAGAAACTGTGCTTTATGCAAATAAAAATAGATGCAAAGTTAAATTAATTACATCCCAGTGAGTGCTCTTTTATTTTAATAAAGCTTACTGTCTTTGATTGCAAATTCACCGTTATATAGAAAACAGGTATGTTTCAATTAGATTGAAAAATCAAAAGCAAAACCAATTAACAAGGGGAAAATGATAGCCATTGAAAAGTTTTAAATTAGTTTATGCCTTTTATTTTCTTCAAAAAATCATAAAAGGGGTGTTTTGAAAGTATCAGTCCAACTATTTAGTGTAAAAGTCCCAGACTGCATTTTCATCACAAATCATTTTTATTCTGGACTTTTTAACAAGTATAATCATGTTTCACAACCTGGGTTGTAGCTATGGAAGTTTTACTTCTTATTAAAATTTATTAGCATTAAAGTGGCCAATCAATCCGTATTTGAAGCCCATCCTGAATTTAAGGATTTCCTCCACAATCTAAGATTTTTCTTTTTTTTTAACCTGGAGGCTGGCCTTGTTTATAGACTAATGATTTTTTGGGCTATGTTAAATTTTTATGATACTTTGTTTGGTTTTAAGCCCTAGTGGGTTGTGGGATAGAGACATTTTTTAAATGGTCTTTTAATTCCAACTATGTAATGTAATTGAATGGTATTTTAATATCAGTTCACCAGATTAGATGCTTATGTGGTAGACATACTGCAGAAGAGGAAATTACTACTATAAATGATTGTCATTTCAGGGAGAGGATAAGAAAAAAAATATTTCTTAGAGAATTAAAGCATTACTATTATTGGAAATTTACTTCTACCCCACATTCAGCATGAGATATGCCTGGATTTTAAAAAAAATCAGCATAACTTTATGGCAATTAATTTTACTGAAGTTAAGCAAGCCAAGTCATTATTACAAGGATGCTAGAGATAATGCCTCAGGCTGGAAATGATCACTCCCACTCTACCCTCTAGCAACACTGTATATTTCCCAGTTTCATGAAGCATTATTATCCAAAGGTTTTTACTTTTTCCCTAAAGTTTTCCTCCGACCCAGATAACACCGGTTATTCTGATAGTTTATATATTCTAATTCTTAATAAGGTTGATTGTTTACTTCTGAACTTTATCTTTATTAGTGGTCTTTCAAATTGCTTGGACTTTAAATTATTTTTTTCTGAGATAAATATTAAGTTTTGAAATGGTGATGAAAACTTTTGAAATAATAGAAATAGAATCAGGTCCTGCGACCTGATTCTAGAGAAGTATTCCATTCCATTATTATTCATTTATTCAGGGAGGTATTGAGCACCTGTTGAGAACCAGGCACTAATGAAGGCAGAACTCTGTCCTAGATGTCCACACAGCAATAGAGAAACACCATCAATGTCTGCACAGATGTGTGATTAGGACACAGATCCAGGAGAACTTCACTATTTGGTCATGCATGCTTTATTGTCTCCATTTTTGAGGAGATAAACAAGGAATACTTCAATAATCACAGGTAGTCTTCAAACATGAACTAGAACCCTCTCAGTGTTCATGAATCAATCACACGTTCCTGTTTACTTCTCCCTATGCAAAATGCACTTTGTGATGTGTGGTTCTCTAGGTCCAGGAAGGCAGAGATGAGAAGTCTGGAAGTCTTCCCTAAAAATCCCAACCAAGGAGTTTCTAGATCTATGACTTGTGTAAGTTAACTGACATCTTTAAGCTCCAGTTTCCACGTTAAAAAGAAATTTTTAAAAAATGGTATTGGAAGTCACTCATGTTTTTAAGATTCAGTTACAAAATGCAAATGTACTCAATAAACATGATCATAACTATTAGTAACACAATTATTAGATGCTTTTCCCAATTCTTAAGTGTACACGAGATTATATTTAGTGGTAGCATAACTCCTCGAAGTAAAAATGATTTTACTTCGAAACATAGGTGAGTAGATTATTTTGTACAATTTACTTCTTTAACCACATATGTGCAAATGGAGGCCCAGATACGTCTTAATCAATTTCCCCACTCGGCAAACACTTGTGGTCAGACTACTAATCCATTGACCCCCTTTGTCTACCCCTAGAAAACTAGGGCACTGGGACCTATGGACAATAATACTCTTTCCATCTCCCAAAACCTTGGACTCCACCTTTCCAGCAAAAGGGTATTTTTCAGGCAAATGATCTCTGAGTGAATAGATTCAAGGCCTACCTAAAGAAAAACAAACCTCATGTTAATTGTTGACTTCATTTAAACTACAATTTGATGCAATAAGAATCCACAGTCAAAGCAGGATCATAAATCTGTTCATCCCAGAAATGGCTGAGATGGGCGTGGAGTAAAATACGTTCTACACCAGGAAGTCCTGGCTGCAGTGTGGCTGTGGGATATTAAACCAAGTCCACTTAGGCTCCATGTAGAGGAGCAATTCACAAAGGCTTACTAGCACCCATTGTCTAATTTGGCATCATAGGAGACCCTACTTGATGAGAAGCAAAAGAGGCATCTCTTCCAGGTAGAATATTTGGATATAGCTTAACAGGAAAAAAAAAAAAAATCTGCCCCCATAGACCTCTAATTTCTGCATGGAGTAGTAAAAACTAAGAGGGTGAGATTAAAGGGGAACATTTGTTTTTTGGTGGGAATCTCTTTTAAATGAAACAGGATGTGTCTGCAGCCATTTCTGTTCAAAGTGAATTTGATTCTAGCCCCACCTCCCTACACTCATGGAGCATTGGTTAAAAACGTATCTGTGGTCTTTATGCTTTAGAATGCACCATAGTGATATCCCAAGAGTACAGTGCTGCTTCTGTTTCTTTGTGGCCAACATTTACAATTCATGTCAGGGACTCTTTTGAGAAAGGACCTAAAATGACTGGGTCAGAATCCCCACAAAATCCTCAGATAACTTCACATCGTCCTTTTATGCCTTTCCTCCACTGTTGTGTTCTGCATTCAAGAGACAATCCTGTTGTTTAACCTTTAGATTAAAACATGGCCATTCTTATAAAAGCTACAGCTATTGGCTTAAATTCAACTGGAGAACTAACTGTTTAGCTTTATTTTATTTTATATGTTCACTTTGTTACTTATATTCTGTTGACCACACCCTTCACAAAGAATACCTTGTTCCACTTCCCAAGATAATAAATTTCATTCAACTCAGCAAAGATGCATTTTAACTGGTGGTATTCTTACCATATCCTAAACAGTAAGCATTTAACTTTGTATTGAGTTAATAACCTTATTATTTTCTTTTTTTGCAAAGCCATAAATACTTCTTTCCTGTTATTAACCTAAAGCTGAAAGCAACATTACAACTATTCCCACAAAAAATAAAACTACCCATTTCATACACATGTGGAACATAAACTAAGTGTGTCTGAATGGAATCCATGAAAACATTTAAAAAAATGAAATTCACTTCCTATCTTCTTTCTATAGCTACTGCTTCCATCCAGGGAATACAAAAACCTAAGGTACTCTATGATCCTTA